ATATTATATTATATTATATTATATTATATTATATTATATTATATTATTATTATATTATATGTATGGTTGCTAAGAAAAACTGGGACATTCTTAATGATGCAATTAAGTTTAAACATGAATGTCAGTGGCTATCTAATCCAAGAATTTGGCTTGATTTTGCATTTCTCTCAACTCCAACAGATTAATCTGATAATGTGTGCTTCTAATATAGAGTGGGAATCCAGCCCCTTCTAGAGACCAAGAGAAATTCAAAATTTAGATTTTTGACAGATCTTTCTAATGCTGAGTTCTCTGGTTTGGAGAAAATTTCTTGCTGTTTGACTTGACTTTTCTTTCTACTGCCTGTCTTCCTCAAGAAAATGGGCAGAACAATCAACAATGTTTGTTAGTTTCTGAATCCATACTCCACACCCAATAGCAGCAATTACTTTGACACAGTAACTAATATTTTACTAGTATGTGATGCTAATATCTCTGATAAACACTGCTGATTTTTCTAAGGTGATCTAGTAAAAGCCAAAATCTCATAGTTATGTTAACAGAACAAGGTATGATCTTGGATGTTATTTTCAAACTGTTTTTCTTGGTTCTGTTTCCTTTATTTATTCTAAATCTCCAGCAATTACATGGTATTGCATTTCATTTCTGTAATTCTAACTGTACCTTAAAATATTTAATTACAACTGATGGAATCTCCCTTCCTTTATGGAAACAGATCTAAGGCAAATCTATAGAGTTTGTGGACTGAGGTAGGAGTTGCTCATTTTAAAAACAACTATTATTTATCTAGTAAAAAACATGCTGCTTTCGAAGTACTCATCAACCACAGTTTCCCAACAGCTGTGTTTTCTATCCTTCCTAACCAGAGTACACATTTTAAAAGTACCAAATAGCTCCCTCTGAGTTCCTTATTTATTAATGATTCCTGATTCACATATATTTCACTAATGAAATAAGTGAAATAAGGACAACTGTTCATTGTCCTTAAGTAGAATTTGGGCACGTTTCCATGATTTTTCTCAGCCTTTACCAGAGATTTTTCCCCGTAAACTAACATTCCATACCATTTCCTAAACTAGTACTCCACACCATAGAGTTCTGAAATTAGACCTTTAGGGAGAAGAAAATATTGAAACTAGAAAATTCTAGTAGTTTCTCCCCCCTGCCAGCCAAACACACAGAACTATATACATATACTATCAACACCACCCTCCAGAACAATGTTCCTGAGTTCTTTGTAGAACAACCAGGTGTTAGGCATATTTCATCTAACCCTTACAAACCGCTTAAAACTAGATCATCTGAGTTCCTAAAAATATCAATTTATGGTGAAGGGATAAGACAACCCTTTGAAATGGCCTGCAGCGCAAACAGGACAGCAAAACACCATGTCTTCCTCCAGCTCCCACCACTGCTCCAAGTGGAGCCAAGAAGCCCTAACAAGACACACACGTGTGGCCCCTAGGGACGGCCCGTTTCCAGGAACCATTCGCCAGCCGAAGAGGAACAGCCACACGATGGAAAACCCTCGATGGGTCCCTGGCTCTGAAAATGTGACGAAATTAAAGAAATGCCCAGGTGTCAGTCCTTGGGCCACGAGGGCCCTCGGCACCAGACCCTACCTCGGACTTCCACACGACGTACGGGTGCCCGTGGCTGTTGGGTGGGGACTGGAACTTTCTCTGCTGGAGCCACCTCCTGGGAGAAGCGAAGATGCTGTTGGAGCCTCCCCCGGAGGAGCAGAGGATGGCGCTGCGGCCACTGCCCGGCCCAGCCAGGGCTGAAGGCAGGTCCCAGACCATGCTCTTCTTGAGGCCGCTGCGACTCAAGGGAACCTCATAGTCAAAGTGGAAGCTGCCCGAGGGCGACTTCTCCTGTGGGGTGCTTGGGGTGGAGAAGGATGCGCAGAGGGGTCTAGGAGGTGGGAGTCGGCTGGCCCGGGGGTGTGGGCCGCGGGGAGAGGACGCCGAGCGGTGTCCGGGGCCCTCGACCGGGGGCAGTGGGGAGCAGAGGCGGCCCCCGGTGGCCCCTGGCGAGCAGCCCTCCGCGCCTGCCTCGCCCCCGCAGCCTCCGATCAGGGCCGGGTCTAGGCTGCGGGTCTGGCGCAGCTTCCTCTTGGAGAAGCCCTGGGCTGAGGCGGAGCCGCCGGACGCCGGCGAGGAGCAGGAGAAGACACTGTGGAGCAGACTTTGCGCGGACATCTCGGCAGGACTGTGCCGGAGGGCCCCCTCTTCCCGCTCTCGGAATGCTGGCGATTTGGGGCGCGGAAAGGAAGGGGGCTCAGGCGACGCAGCCAGGCTCGGAGGGTGGTGGAGGGCAGTGCCAGGCTCACGTGCCACCAGCGCACTACAAGTGCCCCGGTGGGGGCAGAAGCAGATCCATCACCAGCCTTCTAGGAAAAGGGTCGGGGGGCCTACTGCGGCGGCTAGAACCTTCCCCTGGAGCCGAAGTTGCCAAAGGGGTATGGAAGGGGAAGAGGAAGGTCAGGCGCTCGCTGGGTTCCCGGTTCCAGCCCGCCAGCGCCACTCTCCTTCCCCGCAGAGGAAAGAGACTCCGGGCTCCTGCTCCCTGGCTCTGGGCAGCCTCGAAGTCTCCAGCAAGCTCCTCCTCGCACCCTGAGGACTGTAGCAAGAAACTGGGGAGAAGGCCTCCTGGGCGTGCGCCCAGGGCGCGTCGATGCTCCCAGGACAGCGAGAGGGACTTCAGCGATGGAGCTGGGTGCCCGGGCTCCACCGCCGGGACACAGCAGCCGTCTCCGGGGGTCCCTGAAGCTGCGTGTCTAGCCTCCACTTGGCTGCTGCGCCCACTCCTCCAACTTGTTAGGCGCAAGGAATTCTCCAAGCTCCAGGTTCAGCAGGGTGCCAGTCTTGCCACAAAGTGGGGACGAGCCCGCTTCGCCCAGGGCCTTCCAAGGACTGAGTGGCTACGATGGGAGAGAATTCCTGGCAGTGCGCAGGGAGCTAAGGAGAGAATCCCAGGGGCGGGTACCCATGCTCCGCTCGGCGGGACTCTTGATATTAGCAGCCCAGCCTTGGGCTCAGGGCAGGCGCGGAGATGTCCCCGCACACACGCTCAGGATAGAGACAGCGGGAAGGGGGCAGCCAGGACCGGTAGCGCGGGAGGGAAGCCAGGTCTGGAGCTGAGGCGGAGTCAGGAGCGGAGAAAGCAAAACCTGGAGGAGTTTTCCAGGCACCCAACCTGGGAGCCGCCCCTGATACCTGGTCTCCTGGGGAGAAGGCCGTGAGGACGGAAGTGCGGACCTTCTCCCTCGTCTCCCCTCCCCCAGATGGAGGGGGCGCCAGCTCCACTCACGTTTCTGGAAAGGAAAGGAAGTGTCAGATTGCACCCCACCCACTGGTGTCAGATGCGCAGCCCAGGACGGTTGCTCTGAAGTTGAAGTTAAATGTCCTGCCTTCCTCACCCCCCATCCCTGCTTGTTTTTGTTTTTTAAGACAGAAAGGATAGAGATTCCGTTCAAATTGGGCTGGAGATGGGACCTACTACGTGCTGGGGGGCGGGATCCCCGCTGGGAAAATGTGCTCCAGGAGGAGGGGTAAGTGAGGCCGGGCGGGGTCAGGCGCCTACAGGCGTGGGGCAGGCGCTGGGCGCAGCGTCAGCCCATAGGCTATGGAGACCGGCGCTCTCAAAGCGATGGGTCTCTTGTTCGGCTCTGGGGCGCCTCTGGGCGCTGCACGCCACGGCCACATTCCTAGGAGGCTGGAAACTGCTGGCGATGTCAGCATGAAAATGTTCCCTGCTTGGAAACCAGACTGGGAGCAGCTTCTCCCGCTGCTGTCCCTCCCCTGGAATCTGTAAAGCACAAAGCCTCGCCTGCCTCTCAACGGGCTTTTTGACGTTTTGCAACACATCTTACAGCCATCTCATTAGGGGGGAGCAGAGGTAATGCTGGAAATGCCAGCGTACTTTACATAACTGTCTTCGTGTGTCCCTTTACCACTTCAGGGTGAAGAGAATTTTACACAAATGTAAAGGCGACTTTCCTTTACCATTTCTTTTATTAAAGAAAAGATTACAGTGAACTTATAGATACAGGTATTTGACACATTTGCTCTGTTGTGTATATATCAGAATTGCCTAAATTTGATTTTGAAAGATTTCTTTTATTCCCTACAATATTTTCTCC